ACACACACACACACACACACACACACACACACACACACACACACACACTTATTCTTTTGGCAGGGGCGTTCCTAAGTGTAAGTGCAGAGAACAAAGATTTTTAGTCCTAAAATGGATAAACAGTGTGCAAACATTTTGATTACCTGAAGCTTGAGAACTAGGCAGGCTTCCTGCTCCCTCTGTGATGTGCATTGGTATGATGGAAGCAAATATTTCCATTTGCTGACCCTCCCATGTTAAGGTGGCAAGCATAGGGATAGACAGAATTGTTGAGGACAGAAGTTGGAAAAGGAGGCTTTTCTGGCCAGTTCATGACTAGAGTGACATGGTACTACATACTTGAGACAAACTGGAGTAAGGGAACCCTCATTTACCAAGGGGCAAACTATGATGAGGTGGCTCTGGGTTGCTGCAGGACCCTATCCAGACGGTCCTAGGAGTTAATGCCCAGGAGCTTCATTTCCTCTGATGTCAATTCCAGCGATGTCTTAAAAACAAAACAAAACCTAAATAGGGTCCGACTTGCTGGCGTTATATTTACAACTTAGCCCAGGCTGGCCTTGAACTTGCAGTAATACTCCTGCATCTGTCTCCAGAGTGCTAGGTTTGTGTGTGCCACCATGCCATGGTGCAGTGATGTCTACAAACAGGGAGATGCAGGTTGCTACTCAAACCCCTTCCCACAACATCCACTTCCATGGACAAATATGAAGCTGCTGCTGCCTTTTATTTTATTTTGGTTTGGTTTTTTGAGACAGGGTTTCTCTGTGTAGCTTTAGTGCCTGGTCCTGGAACTCGCTTTGTAGACCAGGCTGGCCTCAAACTCAGATATCCACCTGCCTCTGCCCTCTGAGTGATGGGATTAAAGGTGTGTGCCACCACCACCTGGCTACTGCTGGCTTTTAAAGTCATCAGACATGCTTCCCCATCTCAGATCTTCCCAGGTGTGGTGGTTTGAAAGGCCCCCAAAGGGAGTGGCATTATTAGAAGGTGTGGCTTTGTTGGAGGAAGCGTGTTACTGTGGAGAGTGCTTTGAGCTCTATAGGCTCAAGCTACACCTAGTGTCTGAGACTACTTACTGTTGCCTGTGCAAGACGTAGCTCTCTCTGCTACCTCTCCAGCACCATGGCTGCCTGCACACTACCGTGTCCTGCCATTATGATAGTGGACTGTACCTCTTAACTGTAAGCTGCCACTTCAATTAAATGCTGTCCTTTAGAAGAGTTGCCATAGTCATGGTGTCTCATCACAGTAACAGAAACACTAAGATACCAGGGATCCGAGTTTGAAACAAAAATCCTAATGGAACTGGAGAGATGGTTCCGCAGCGAGGGTGAATTTCATTCCCAGCATCCGTATCAGACAGCTCAAAATCCCCTGTAACCTCATTCCCCGGGGGTCCATCCAACACTGCGGCTTCTGAGGGAAACTCACATGTATGTGTGCATATAATGCATTAAAAAAAACTAAAATGGTGAACCTGCAAGATGGGTAAAGGCACTTACTTGTCAAGCCTGAGGCCCTGAGTTGAATCCCTGGAAGCCACATGGTGGAGGGAGAGCACCGGCTCCTGCAGTGGGTTCTCTGACCTCCACATATGCATTCTATCTCTCTCTCTCTCTCTCTCACACACACACACATTTAAAAACTCAAAGTGGCCAACAGGGTTGCACAGATCTATCCCTGAACTTCTCAGCTTTACTGACAGAGGTAAGTTACCACACAGACATGTTGGGAACAAATCCACAAGGCACTCTTTTGGGAACATTTTTCTTTTCTCTAGTTGGGGCTGGTCTTGAACTTCCAAGCCTCTTTGTTCCAGCTCTTGAATGTTGGGATAACAGGTGTTAGCACCATGACCAGTCCATGCAGTGCAGGTAGTTAGGTACAGGACTTCCAAGGAGGCATTCTGTCAACTGAGCTGCATTTCCAACTCAATGCTTTGGATTCTAGCCATACCACCGAAGGTTTGTCCCTTGATGTGGACACTGAAGTAAATTTACAGAACTTACAATCACACTGATATGTGCAGAATGTGCCTCAATCCTACTTACATTTTTCAAAAATGTGCCCCCTTTCCTCCTCAATGTCCAAGGACACCAAGCTTGGTGGACAATGGTGTAGTCTAACTGGACCTGTTTCAAACTTGGAAATCAATTCTGCATCTAATTAGGTATGTATTGTGAAAAGTTTATTACAGTGTGTGTGTGTGTGTGTGTGTGTGTGTGTGTGTGTGTGCATGTGCCACGAGAAGTCCAGGGATCACTTGCTGGAGTACATTTTCTTTCCTGGGGACTGAGATCAGGTTGTCAGGCTTGGCAGCAGGCACCTTTACTCTGCAAGCATTTTGTTGGCACAGACAATGGCCCATGTTCTGGTTTCATCTTCCTACTTCTTGGGCTGCATACTCAAGTTCCTTCTTCTTCAGCCTTGCAGTCTTCCTAACCTCAAATGGAAACTGACCTGGAGAAGGGCAATACTTGAGGAATCCCTGATTCACCTAGAACTCTGGTCTAGGGACAGAGAGCCCAGCAGTCTATACAAAGGTTTAAGAGAGTTCATATTTGCTCACTACAAAACAGTGCAGAAGTGCCAGGCGTTGGTGGCGCACGCCTTTAATCCCAGCACTCAGGAGGCAGAGGCAGGTGGATCTCTGTGAGTTGGAGGCCAGCCTGGTCTCCAGAGCAAGTTCCAGGGCAGGCTCCAAAGCTACACAGAGAAACCCTGTCTTGAAAACCAAAAAACAATCAAAAACAAACAAAACAGTGCAGAAGGCTTCGTATCAATACATACTTGGTGACTGGGCTGGGCCACTCCGATGGAGGTAGGCTTAGGTGGGGTAGTACCTACCCAGGGTTGATTTTCCTTTCTTTCAAGCAGACTTGAGGGCAGCCCAGCAGAAGTGACCCTGCGTCTCCCCAGGGATGACAGTAGGGGTTAATTCTAATTTTTCCTCATCCTGTGCTCACCCCACAATCATTTGTAGATCTGGACCCTACTAGCATGGGTTGCTGGAGACAGGTCTTTGAAGCCCAAGTGTGAGGCAGTAACTCTGCTTTCACCGCCATTGATTAACATCTGGTGGTGGGAGTGGGGTAAAAAGAAACATTTATAGGGATAATAGCCAATGGGGATTTGGTTGAAAAGCAAATATGAAACTAGAGCCAAGTTTGGCATAATGGTGATCAGAGCCACTGGCAATCAAATGCACCCAACTTTCAGATAATGATGAACAGTGTGAGAGACACCATTGTTGGTGCTGGGCACGAGCTACAGGATGGCTCTAACTGTGACTTCCTAGAGTTGCTTTATTAGCAGGAATGGGACATGAATGCTAAGTGGATGACTCCTTCATTTATTTATTTATTTTTAGCTGTTTTTGAGACAGTGTTTCTCTGTTTGGCCCTGGCTATCTTAGAGGGAGTGGAGAATGAAGGAAGAATAAAGACCTTTCAAAATCCTGTCACAAATGAGAAAGAAGATAAGCTTAGGG